TAAACAGAATTTCTATGAAATAAACCATTTTTAATCAAATGTTCAGAAAATAATCAGAATTTGTTAAAAGAAACAATTTTCAATCAAATATTTAGAAGAAAATTTAAAAATAATCAGAATTTGTATATAAAAAAAAACAATTTTTAATCAAATATTAAGAAGAAAATCAAAAAATAATCAAAATTTGTATTTAAAAAAACAATTTTTTATCAAATGTTCAGAAAATAATCATAATTTGTATGAAATAAACAAAATTTGAATTAAAATCACAAATAATCAAAAAATAATCAGGATTTTGTATGAAATAATCAAAATTTGAGTTGTAATCACAAAGAATAGTAAAAAATTTGATTGAACAATCACAAAGTTAATGGTCTCAACTTGGGACTGACTGCCCCCTTGACACCGGCGATTTGGCGTTGTGGCAAAAGGGATGCGCATTAGGGGCATTAGGTGAAATGATGGTCGTGAAGATGGATCAACTGTCGCTCCTCTCTTGGTGTTTTTGATGACAAAAGTTGCTGACAAAACGGAATGATTGAGCGCATGTTGCCATGCCACAATGGATGCCCTGATTTCTCATTGTTGCCATTAAATACGTATCGCTTTAATCATTTGCTGGGCCTGTGCAGCCCAAGAGTCTCATCGAATGAAGAGGTTCATTTTGGAAGCAAACACAGGCCGCCCGTTCCAATGAAAAGCGTGACAAATTGATTCCGATTGTACGGGAAAAGGACGGGACATCTCAATATAACACTGACGGGTATTCATGAGCTCTCATGCTTCGGGAGTCTGATGAGAAATTGCTCAAATGATTATTCAAATTAATTTTCATGAAATCTATTTATCAAATTTTTGGGCGCGTCATTTTCACTCATTTATTAATACCTACTCATTGTCACATGAATTAATCTATATATCGCAATTTCCTGAGCTGCAGCCGCGCATTTCGGCATGAATATGATCTTAATTGCCCAGCGAAGCGGCGTCTAGAAGAACCCTAACTTGCAATCATCTTCGTCAAATGCATTCGATATTGGCGAGGATCGCAGCCTTGTGTACTGTTAATCACATTTGGGGTTTCGCTGATCGACAAGCATCCTTCCCATCGACAATATCCCTCAATTAAGGCATAATTCTATTTTCACGGGCATTTTCTCCGAGTCAGGAGGCGAATTTCTCTCTTCACGGCGCGCCAGTTTATTAAAACATCCCTCGGAAATGGGACGCGCGAGGATACAAAAGGAGGGTCTGATATTACATTTGACAATCGCATCAAGCCTCACAGCAATTTTCAAGAGCATGTTTATTTCACACTGTGGCCCTTTATTTACGGATAATCAGGATCTAAATGCGTGCCGAATTGTGGAATATGCGAGAATGAAGTACATCGACGGGTGAGTGGAAAACTATGCGAAGTTAAAATTGCAATTTAGCGTTAATATGTTTCTAAATCGTTCAAAAACAGCTCACATTGCTCTGTAATAATTATTTTGTGGATATTTTGATTGATTTTATTGGTATTTATTAGAATTTTTAGCAACTTTCGAGTACATTTTATTAAAAAAAAACTAGTTTTTATGCTAATACTTGATTTTTCGTGATTATTATTCTAATTTTGAGTATTGCATAAAAATTTCAGTAATTTTTTTTAATTGTGTCAAAGAATTTTGAAATATTTGATTGCTTTTTGATTATTTTCTGAATATGAAACCAAAATTTAAGATATTTAAAATTGAAATATAATCAAAAATTGTATTTTTATAGTTTCTTATAGTAGATTATATATTATTTAGAGGCGTCTAAAGCCCTCAAATAAAAAAAATGTAAAAATCCAAAGGAAAAACTTGATCAGCTGATCAATTTATGATGAAACAGGGATTTTCCAATGCGAAAAGCTTTATTTTTCCACCCAAATTTCCTTTTCTCCCGATTAGAAACTCGCCAGGAAACCAAAAAGAGTGAAAAGACGTAAAAATGCGATATTTTTAGCGTCCCCCACGCCACCTTTGCTGCCCTCTGGCGGCGATATGTGGAGAAAATAATCAAATATGCTTCAATTTTAATTTAATCATTCAGAATATACTTATTAATCATTTTTTAAGCAGAGTCAGACCATTAATATGCCCCAAAAATCGGTTAGAGACTTTTCACAGTTTTCGATGCACCCGTCGACATGTAAAATTTCAAACCATGAAGTTGTTCATTGCTCTGCACCTTGATCAACAAATAATCTATTGCACATTAGCCGTTTTTTCTCACACGCAGACTAACATTTGATTAGGCCACGGAGGGATTATAATTAACTCCGATAAATATTAACTCTATTTCCTCCGGGTGCGTCGATGGCAAGTAGACTTCTGGCCCACGGAAGAAAAAGAGTTTGTCTTATATCATTGTAACTGAAAAGTCACCAATTCTCCTTTGTCACACACACACGCTGATGAAAAGCGCTATTGGGCTTATAATTTCTTTCTTGAGGAACTAATTTGTAATGCGGATGAGTGTGGATGAAGATGCCGAGAGAACATGTTGAGATGGACAAAAACAAATTATACGAGGAGTGAAAAAACAAAACACCGTACATAATAAATTCATTCAACAATATCCAATCGCCATGGAAGACGTGATGTGTGAGGTCCACCAAATTTGGTGCCGTGATTGGATGATGGTCTCGCCGATACTTAATCATTGCCATGTGGTGTTCCACGGAATTCTTCTTAACCATATCATTGGAAGTGGATGCTTTTCAATTGCCTCGCGCACAACTTCTTTCTCATCCCCCCCGCGAAAGCCTCACGCGTGGTATCTTCAGTCCAAAGTCATTTTCGGACACATTTTCCACTCTTTCTCGCCGCACCGACAGAGTGATATCATGGCACTGAATTGCATACTGCTCAATTAAATGGCCATAGTCAAGGATATTATGTCGGGAAGCAATAAAAGGTAATAGAATAAGTTTATTCAGCACGCGAAGCTCATTTGAATTCAGAATATCACTCGATTGGGGAATATTTTATGGTGTGGCCCACGCGAATTTCCATTTGATAATAAAACACACCATTTAATTAGAGGTCACATTGAGATCCTTTTTCCTGTGAAATTCACTTCAATGTGAACTTTTTCCCTATATAATTACGAGCGTCGTACAGAAAATGTGTCGGTTTAATCATATTCTGCGGTGAATTCAGAATAATATTCAGAAATACAAAGAAACTGCGTTCCTATTAAGAATAGTGAGTGAAAATGTTAGTCCTATTTCTTGAATAACGAATTAACGGGTCGTTGCAACTTTCTTTTCATAACATATTAAATAAGCTGTCAAAGTTATGAATTCGTAAAACTGTGATGCAAGTTAAAGATTCATTCAAGCTGGAAAATTCACGTTTCTGATTAATAAATACAGATTTATTGCGTTTATCTGTTCATTTATGCTCATCTCACTGACCCAAATTGAGGTTATGTGCTTCCAGACATTCTTTAACCGTTTCCAACACTTAAGAACATTTCCTTACGTCAAAATGGAGGGAAATTGGCAGAAACTGGGCGCAAATTTGTATATTTTGCTCTAAAAACACTCTAAAAATCACAGTTTAAAAGTAAACAGAAAGAAATGGTTTTTGACAGCTGAAATTGTCATTAAATAAATTCCCAATTTCGCCTTGAATTGCCATTTCGTTCGTATTTAATTCTTACTTTACACCAGCGCCGCCGGGCGGCCGCCAATATAAGCTATGAAGATCGGAAAGTTGCAACACACATTCGTAATTTTTACGAAATTAAATACAAACTCCTTAATGTTGCAACGACCCTTAAATCGTGCATACATTTAAAAATGCAGACATATTTATTATTAATCTTCTGGGAATTTTCATGACGCCGCAATTTGTGGTTTTTATTGCGAAAACCCATTGGACATTTTATCTTAAAATTAGCGCTGAAATACAATTCGAATGGATTATTCTCGACACTCTTTTGTGTCGGAAAAAAATTGCTTTCTCTACTTGATGATGGAATGAAATAAGAAAAAAAATTGGTCTAATTAAGAGACACTTTAAGCTGTCGACAGGGTTAATTTTGTGCCAATAATAAAAAACAGCACTGAGAGAAGCTGTGAATGGTTTTTCCTCTCTTTGTCAATAAAATAATAACACAATTCATGGAAGAAAATCATTATTCTCTCCTTTCTCACTCTCTCGAAACGAAATGAATCGCATCATATGTTGACATTAAACCAATAATTATAAAGCTAAACCTCAAATTGTACGTCAGCACTTTGTCAAATGTTGTGTGTATTAAAGTTTTATTGTCTCGCAGTAAAATTATGTTTTACAGTTCTACGGAAAATGGAGATATCGATGGTGGAAAAAAAAGTTGTACTAAAATTTTATGCAAAGTGATTTCGACTAGATACGCGACAAAATGTAGAAAGCCTCATGTAGGTCGTTATTGTCATAAATGAAACGTCGTGTGTTTATTTTCAGCCAATAAATAAAATTCCTATTGTATTCTAGTCCAGAATAGACTTATCACCATAGTCATAATTCATTTTTTCTACATACTCCTGAAAGTTGGTAGTTTTTCAGCGCTCCTCCGCGGCGAAGAAAGTGAAGCTCAGACTAATGGTTGATTTATTAATTGCGCACATCCATGGCTGTGACTTTTTGGGGGGTGTAAATGTAGCGTCGCGGAGTGAAATGGAAACGACGAGCTTTCAAGCTTCGCAGAGTCTCCCGAGAGAGGGTGACAAGCGAGAGCAGAGTCCTCCTTTTATTGGAGTCAATTAACGACTTACTAATAAATTAGCTATCATATAAATTGTCCGACATTTCTTTGTCGGCACGCCGTGGGCCAATGGGAGCGCGGCTGCGCTGCCATTGGACGGCGGCGCTCGGAGTTGAACGCCCCAGACACGAGGGAGTCGCTGAGCGTGAGAGCGCAGCTGAACGTCACGTCAAGCGCCCATCGAGCGGACGGCGAGAAGCAGTTGCCACTCGTTTATCACTCGAGTTAGTTGTAATTGGACAGCTCGCTCCGTAAGTGAAAAGCCACCTTGTCAATCAGTGCCCAAATCACAAGTAGTTCATCCATGTGTCCAATCCACTTAAGCCACCCTGATCGATAGGCTGCAGCGCCTCACCAGCCAGGACTAATGGCACCATGGATTATCTCATAGATAAAGTGCTGGGACAATGCAGTGACTTGAATCGTGGTGTGCGCGAAGGGAAGAAGGAGTGCGTTTTGGACATTTCGCCCAAGGACATGTGCCAAGCGGACTTCCCGTAGAGCAGCGAGAGTTGAACAGAGGATTAATCGTGATTTACTCTTCACCGTGATATTACCTGTTAACTTTAAGTGATCCAGCAATGTTGTGCACCAGTGCGCCGCCCAGTCCAATAGGATCAGACATATCCGTGGGGGCGCCGAGTCCGCCGGCAACGGACGTGTCGCACGCCGCGTCCGGCGAGGACTACTTCCGGCCACTCAAGCAGCTGAAGATGCTGGACGGCAGGGAGAAGTGCTCCAGCCCGCCGCGCTCCACCATCGAGGGCGTCAAGTCCTTCTCCATCGCCGACATCCTGCGCCACGAGCCGCCCACGAGCGGCGTCACGGGCGGCGTCGGCGGCCTCGGCCACCATCACAATCACCTGCACCAGCACCAGAGCCATCCCGCCACGAAGATCGTGCGGCCGTGGGATCACCTGCGCGGCCCCATCCCCGTGCGCCCCTTCCTGCCGCCCGCCCTCCTGCACTACGAGCACCGCCTGGCCCTGGACTACCAGCGGCAGCTGCAGGAGCACTTCACGGCCCAGGCGCAGCTCCTGCGCCACATGAGCATGGAGATTATTCCCTCAGAGAGCGGATCCGAGCGCTCCAGCTCCGCCACCAGCGACTGCTGCTCGCCAGAGATTGGCGGCTCGCGCACCTCAGATCACCACCACTCCAGCGGCCAGCAAACCCCCGCAGCGGCCCACCAGGCCAGCTCCGCCGGCGGCCAGAAGACTAAGCCCAACGGGACGCCCCTCGACGCCCTCTTCCAGATGACTAACAAAACCTTCGACGAGGCCCAAGGCGAGAACGGTTCCGGTAAGTCTCTCTGTCCTTTGCACGCGTGGCTTCCGACTCCTCGAACCCAGCCAAGAACACTAGTCTAGAGCACTAAACCCAAGACTAAACCTCAAAACTAGGGGCAGATATTGTGGTCGGAAGTGATGTATAGCTTTTAAGGAAGTGTCAGGAATCAGAAATGTTGAAATATATTCAATATTTGCAACAAATTGAGGCATTTTCTAACATATTTTGCTTAGAAAAATCAATTTTATTGCTTTTCTAGGTTATATTATTGATTTAAGGCAGATTATTGTGGTTAAATAACCTTCAAAATCATCAAATTTGGGTTAATTCCAGGAATATTTCTCTTTTTCTCAGCATAATTGAGCATTTGTGTACGAAAAACTTCAAATTGCTTTCATTTCAGTAGTCAAAAACAGCTTTAAAGTCAATCATAACCTCAAAATTGTCATCTTTTCTTATTTATTTTCGCTGTTTGTGCTTCAAAATGGCAAATTGAAGCTAATTATCTAGTGGAAACATTGAGATATTCTCATTTCCATACTTGTAAGGATTAAAATGAGTCCAAAACTGATTTTATAAGCAGAATTCATAACCTCACAATTTGGTTAGATGTGATAAGTGAGAATTGAGTGTGGGAAACAGTTGAAGGAGTCTAAAAAGCGATGAAAAATACCTTCAAAAAGCGTTCAGAAGTGTCTTAGATTCTGCTCAGAAACTGCTGAAGTGTCAGGAAGTGGTGTACAGATTTGAGGCTTATTATCTTCCCCTTGTGTCCAAGTAAAAACCACTTCGGCGAAGCCAAGCTCTCGCTCTCGTATCCAAATTGAAAATGGCAATATTTGAGGAGGAAACTCAATGGCATAAATGAAGTGAATGATGAAAAAAAGTAAATGTCAGAAAACGGGTATCATTAAATTGCAATTATGATTGTTAATTACACCATACTTTACGACTCTCTTCTCCGCAAATAAATTAAGTATCACACATCCCAGCGGAGTATTTAGGAAAATTAATAGTTTTTCCCATTGTGCGAATGAAACTTGTCTCACCAAAGTATTAATTTTATTTTACAAATCTGCAAGTATTTTAAAATCAAATTAATACATTTGAGTGGCTTCACTGTTAGTCTCTGTGGAAGATAGAGTGCAAGATTATCTTGATCACGTGAGACTCTCTCAACTTCCTCAGCTATTCAACTTTCTTTGGAATTATTTGAGCAACTTTCTCATATACAAAACACACAATATTTTTGCCATTTTTGAACAAAAGTATAAAATGCCTCTTAAATACAGCTTGTAGACTTACATTTGCTGGATTGTTTGAAAGTCACTGAGAGTAGCCAACTGTTTCCTGATTTATCTTCAACTCTGTTGAGGAGGAATTTCTTGCAAATATGCATGTGAAGAAAGGAATTTTTTTCTTAAACTGTGTCATTTTGAAAACTAATTAACACGCGCGCGCACTGTTCGATAAAGTGTGTACAAGATATGGCAATGGTTTGCATATTCTCAATTTGATTTTACAAAGTTAATTGCTTTCAACAAAAGCATTTATGTAATCCAGTCAGAGACTGGAAATTTTTATCTTCATATTAACAGTGTTTCATTGCCTGAAATGCTCAGTAATTGAACAAAAACAAAATATTACTCCTTTCTAAATATAATTTATTGTCTTTTAATTAATGCACAAGTTGTCAGAAAATTTCATCTATGTCGAAAAATTGAAGAAAAAACCTTTCTTTTATTTTATGTAATAATTGAATTTGGCTGTTTTGGTTCAGAAATTTGAGAAAAACTGTCTGAAATTCAAGAAAAAAAACCAAGCAAATCAATTCAATGATCTCATTTGCATATTTGCATGAAAAGCGAATATATGTGGTATTTAATTTCCGTGATGAGGAATGGTTAAATGTACTGGGAAGTTTGATTGAAAATAAGAAATTGATCTTGGCAACCGCAAAGCAATTCCAGTAGAATTTTGCATTTATTTCCCTTATTGAATGCCTCGGCGAATCAAGTCAAAGTATGCACAAGAGTTGCTGAGAAAAGTGTGATTCTCACGTTTGATTGACTTCTCATGATTGACCAGAAGATGATGCACTTGAGTTTTGCCAAATATTCCGTTCCCATACTTTCCGGATGCTTCGCTCTGGGTCAGTGAGATGAGCCAATGTGAGACAGTTCCTTTGGGATGCTGGTAATGATTCCCAATAAAATTCTCTGTTGAACCGTGAAGAACAAAGAATTGACTTTACAATAAATACGAAGAAAAAAAGCGAGCTGTAAATGTGAAAAAAAGGCGCATCGATCAATCGATAATCAGACGAGCGTTCACCAAAAGTGGCCTTTGTTGCCTTCACACCGGAGAATAGCCTCGACAATCACTATTCTTTCTCGCCCTCAGTGAAAAGGATATTAAATCCAGACAGTCTCTGTGTGTGGGTCCAATTCGTCACACACGATTAAGATGCATTTAAGAAAGTCCAAATGCTGTGTGGCACTGATTCGCATCTTGTGCTCACTTTTTTCCTCTTCGCACACAAATGCCGACATTCCTGTGAATGCCGAAGAAACAGAATGAAATATATTTGGTTTCATTTCTCAATCATATTTCATTGAAAAAGATCCACTATAAGTAGCAAAATCTACAACTGCGAAATATTTCCACGAGAGTCCCAAAAATCTGTCGATCAAGGGGCAGATATTACGGTCGGAAGTGGTGTACAGCTTCAACAGAAGTGTTAGGAATCAGAAGTGTTGAATTGCATCACAAAAGCTTCTGTTTCAGCAAATTGAGGCATTTTCTAACTTATTTTGCTTAGAAAAAATCAATTTTATTGCTTTTTCTAGGTTATGTTATTGATTTAAGACAGATTCTGACAATTAAATAACCCTCAAAATCATCAAATTTGGGTTTAATCTTCTCATTTTCTCTTTATTTCTCTTTTTCTTGGCAGAGTTGAGCATTTGTGTTGAAAGAAGAATCTTCAAATTGGTTAAATTACTTAAAAGTCTATCATAACCTCAAAAATGTAATTTCAGTCTAGAAAAATATTTATTTGCTTAGTTATTTCCGCGTTTTTTGCATTTAAATTGCAAATTGAGCCTCAAATATTTACGGATTTCCAGGTTTGAAGGGATTAATATTGTGCCAAAAAGATTTTTTTAATTGAATTCATAACCTCACAATTTAGTCAGAATTTTTCCCAAGGATTTTCCGGAAACAATACCAGAAAATTAACGAATTCTGGGACAGTATTTGAAGCGCTTTAAGTTCTTGAGACGGAAAAACCTAGATAAGATTGTGATAAGTGAGAAATGAGTGCAAAAATAGCGTCTAAAGTGTTGAAGATTCTGCACAGAAACAGATTTGGGGCACATTATCTCCCCCTTGCTGTAGATCACTTGACCATATCTTGATTGCCTCATCTTCTTGATCTTCATTTTGTCGTTTGCATGCGTGAGACAAAGCCATAATTAATAATAAAGCAAAAATATGATCTTTTGGGTGAATATCAAAATTTCATTAGTAAGACGAGGAGCAAAGAAATGGAAATATATGGGAAAAGACACGGCAACACCAAAAGACTGATGATCATTAATATCCGTTTGATGATTAAGTTAATCACGTCTTCGGCATTTTCTGATGTTTGCCTGCCTTTTTTTTCTCTCTACCTCAACTTCGGCTTAATCTTTTATAATATTGTATATGTGTGTCGCGCACTATAAAGCTTATTATGCCGAGAGCTTCACTCAAATTAGACACCGTCGTCACATTTAATTTCATTAAAAATATAACTCGTTTAATAAAGTATCGCGTCGGAAGGAGGAGGAGAAAATATCGCGCACAGAGCGAGAGAGAAGTTTCATTCCCGATTAATGTATTGAAAATTTTACCACGATTTATGTTGTTTGTCATGTGGAAATTGCTTGTGCGGTGCTGTGTGTGTGTGTTCGCAGTCATGTGCTGGGCAGTGTAGGGCTGAGGGTGAAAAAAAGAGCAAACAAGAGAGGAAATTACACTTTTTCTATGCCTCTCTATCGCTGAGGAAGATATTCAGTCGGTCTAAAATGATTCCTTGAGGGTGTAAAATACCACCGGTGGAGATCTGCTGGGTGGAAAAGTTGCGCAAAGAGATAATCGAGAAAGAGCACACAATGTACATATATATATGTATTTCCCATTCTGCATCGGAAATTGGAATCCTCAACCTGAGTCTCTCCCTGCCTCGCTCACGGCACACAGAGGCGCGCTGAGGAGCATCTCTTTGGCGAGGAGTCTAATAAAGTACAATGAGTCGCTGGGACGGTGATCGTCGCCCTAATGGCCGGGAACGGCGATCTCGGCAATCGCGCCAGCGTGTGGTCCATTCTAAGTGGTCAAAGATGCCGCGGCCCTAGGTGTCGGCCGAGCTAATTGGAAGATGTTCAAAGGGGCCGCCAATCTCTGGAGTAGGGATCAGAGCTTGTAATAACTCTATCTTCAATATGGGAGGCCGCCGATTGTACCATCGCCGATGGATTTTTCGGTACCGCGCAGACTTCCAAACTTGGCCCTCCTCTCACGAGATCGCTTCTCTCTCTCACGCGTCTGTGTATATTGAGTAATTGAGGCTGTTTGGAGCAACACTTGTGTCGTGCACTGTATTAAATTTGTCAGAACACATCCGTAATTCTGGGCAATCGCGCGGGGAAAAAATGCGTTTACCGAACATGCTTCACACACGGCAGTAATATTTAAGATGTTTCTCAACTCTTGGGATGTATTTAACATGCATACCGATATTCCAATGGGCAATTTAAACAGAAGCGGACTCCACAGTCTCCCATTAAGCATCCTCAATTGACAAGCTTTTTTGTCTCCACCAATAAGTCTGCAAGCGCGTCCGGGAGATTTTGTATATACATTTTATTGAACGCTCCACCAATTAGCAATATCATATTAAATTGTGATTTTTATGGTGTCTTACTTGCGCCGCGGTGTGTATAAAAATTGAGTGGATGTCGGCAGTG